ACAGACAAGCCGTGGAAAAATATTGCACTGATGTCATAATTCGTTTCCTTAACCCTTTGCACTCAGGGACATCTCACGTATCACCTACCAGCAACTCAACAACACTTTTACAAAATAGTGAAAAACATATTAAATAGCATTGGAAGCCGGGCTCGGTGGCTCAGCCTGTAATCCCGCGCCTTTGGGAGGCTGAGGTGAGTGGATTGCCTGAGCCCATGGGTTTGAGACCCGCCTGGGCAGTGAGATCTCATCTCTACAATAAATCAAAAAATCAGCTGGGCGTGGTAGCGCATGCCTGTAATTCCGGCTACTCGGAAGGCTGAGGCGGAAGGATCGCCGGAGCCCAGCAGGTGAGGCTGCGGTGGCCGGGAGCGGCCACTGCACTCCAGTCTGGGCGACAGAGTGAGACTCCAACTCAAAAATAAATTAATTAATTTAATTAAATAAATAAACACTCATCACCATCACTTTCTGTTACACTTGCCCATTTTCTTAGTGGCATGGTATCAGTATTGCTACTATCATTGTCTTCCACATCAATGTTTATTTTTTCTAACTTATCTGTATAAAAGTCTAACCCGTCTTCACTGCTGCTTATAACTCTCACTTCTATCTTTTCATTTTGCCATTGTTCTGCAAACTAAATGGATAAAAAATTGATAAGTAAACTACAAAATCACTAAATGAAATTTACCAAAAGAATATTACTTTTCCAGTTTTACTTCTCCAACTTAGTGCTGATAGGGATAGTCTGTTGGTGCCACTAAATACTTTAATATGCTCTGCCTTCAACTTCAAAAGTCTTTCTTTTAAAGCTACAATAACTTATTTATCTTTTCAAGTTATGCCTTATGATACAAAGGGTATACTCACAGCTGTCTTTCTTATACAAACACTCTTTATCACTACCTTCTTTATAAGGAAGTGTTCGCACCACTGTAAAAGCTCTTCACACATTCTCTCTATGTGGCGCCAATCGATTTTTTTTACGTATATCTCAGTATATATTCTGTCTCTTTATTTGCTTTTCGTACAGTTTGAATGGAAAACATCAAGGAAACATACGTTTTTGAAAAATTTGCACTGGCCTAAGTTTGTCCTGAATAATCACCAGCAATCTCTTTGTATCCCATGAGAGGAGACTTCAGAGTGGTTTGCTAGATTTTACGATGTTCCTTCAGAGGGAGCATCCAAGTACAAAGGTCCTTCTGGTTAACTGAGACCAAAAGGTTGATGTAAGCTGGGCTCGGTGGCTCAACCTGTAATCCCGCACTTTGGGAGGCTGAGGCGAGTGTATTGCCTGAGCCCGCGGGTTCGAGACCCACCTGGGCAGCGAGACCTCACCTCTACAATAAATCAAAAATTAGCCGGACATGGTAGCACGCACCTGTAGTTCCAGCTACTTGGAAGGCTGAGGCGGAAGGATCACCAGAGCCCAGCAGGTCGAGGCTGCAGTGGCCAGGAGTGTGCCACTGCACTCCAGTCTGGGAGACAGAGTGAGACTCCAACTCAAAAAAAAAAAAAAAAAGATGTAGAGGATTGTAGTTAATAGATCCTCAAAGAGTTGCTTGGCATTCTCCCAAAATTACAAGTACATAATGTCCTTTAACTTAACAGTTCCATTTACAGGAATTTATCCTGCACGTGTATTGAAAGGATTAGCACAGCATGCACATTATTGCATTATTTGTAATAGGAAAAAAAAGTGGAGATACTCTACAGGATTATAAACTAAATAAATTCTATATATCCAGTCAATAAGGTGTTCTCTGCAGTCATTAAAAAGAATGAGCCAGCTCTGTGCTATGGAGCGAGCTTTCAAATACAATATTAAGTGAAACAGCAAGGTGAAAAACAGTGTGTATAGTATGATTCCACTTGGGTTGGGGAGAGAAAAAGAAGCTACACTTAGATATATGCTTATATGTCAACAGACTGTTTTTGGAATCATATCAGAGAACTCTAACAGTGGTTATCTCTGGGAAGAAGCACTGCTTGGTGGTGGGGGATTGGGAGGCAGGCAGTGGTAGAAGGTGATATTTTTTCACTGTCTACTCTTTTCAGCCTTTTATTTTGTATCCTGTGTACATTACCTATTTTTAAAAATAATTTTAAAAACAAAAGCAATGAAAGAAATTGCAAATAAAAATATCGATTGTTCTAGCAATATAAAAATGTATTTGTGTCACAAAAAGCAAGTCACCAGCAGGAAAGCACTCATTAATATTTATTGCATGTTTTTGTGTTAGATGCTTTACATATAATTACTTCATTTATCCTCATAAATCCTCTGAGAAATACCTAGTTTTAACCATGTCACATAGATGAAGAGATTGAGGGAGACTTAAGGATATTAGCATTCAGCTAAGAAGGGACCAAGGATTTATTTGAATTCTGATCCTTTTTTTTTTTTTTGAGTTGGAGTCTCACTCTGTGCCCCAACTGGAGTGCAGTGGAACACTCCTGGCCACCGCAGCCTCAACCTGCTGGACTCCAACAATCCTTCTGCCCCAGCCTTCCAAGTAGCTGGAACTACAGGCGCACGCTACCACGCCCAGCTAATTTTTTGATTTATTGTAGAGATGAGGTCTCGCCAAGTTGCCCAGGCAGGTCTCAAACCCATGGGCTCAGGCAGTCCATTCACTTCATCCTGCCAAAGCGTGGGATTACAGGCTGAGCCATCGAGCCTGGCTTGAATTCAGATCTTTCTTTCTCTCTCTTATGAGACAAGGTCTTGCTCTGTCACCCAGGCTGGAGTGCAGTGGCACAATCATAATTCACTGCAACCTCGAGCTTCTGGGCTGAAGCAGTCCACATTAGCCTCCCAAGTAGCTGGGACTACAGGCACATACCACCTAGCTTTTTTAAATTTTTCATAGAAGTAGGGCCTCGCTCTGTTGCCCGGGGTGATCTCAAACTACTAACTGCAAACGATCCTACCACCTCAGCCTCCCAAAGTTTTGGGATTACAGGCATGAGGCACTACAGGTCTTTCTGATTTTAAAGTTAGTTTTTTTTCTACCCAATCATTCTGTTTCCAATTAGTGACCATCTTATATTAGTGAAAGTACAACTGTGCTTTAATAGCAGTAGCAATTACCTAAAGTGCCCACAAGATGGAAATGTTAGATGCAAACAAGAATTTTTCTTTATAAAACAATGCTACGTACCAAATGGCATATTTACATAGATGTATCCTGCTTGACAGTAATGACATTTTCTTTAGTAATTTGTTAATATAGCTAGCTAAAATGTTTCAACATCATTTAATAGTATTACATTGACATAATAATAGTTGGTAGAGCTTTTTATGTGCCAGGCAGTATTCTGAGTACTTAATATAAATTCATTCATTTATTCATTTATTTTTTTATTTTATTTTATTTTATTTTATTTTTGAGTTGGAGTCTCACTCTGTCGCCCAGACTGTAGTGCAGTGGCACGCTCCCGGCCACTGCAGCCTTGACCTGCTGGGCTCTGGCGACCCTTCCACCTCAGCCTTCTAAGTAGCTGGAACTACAGGCATGCGTTACCATGCCTGGCTAGTTTTTGATTTATTGTAGAGATGAGGTCTCACCAAGTTGCTCTGGTGGGTCTCGAACCCACAGGCTCAGGCAATCCACTTGCCTCAGCCTCCCAAAGTGCTGGGATTACAGGCTGAGCCACCGAGCCCGGCCAAATTAATTCATTTAAAATCTAGCTAGGCACAGTGATTCACGCCTGTAATCCTAGCACTTTGAGAGGCCGAGGTGAGAGGATTATCTGAGCCCACAGGTTCGAGACCAACCTGAGCAACTTGGTGAGACCTCATCTCTT